GATTTTGGTTTCAAAAATGTGATAGCCTCTGATTGATTGACCTTATTAGTTGAGCGCTGAGTGATATGCGATGGGTCTCGTAAGCAGGAGGCACCTGGGAATATTCGGGATTGAGAAGAAGGACTAGACAGATGGGAAAGATGGTTTTCCAAATGGGTACCCAAGACTTTAGGGCACAACATACTTCGCGGTAGCCCACACCAACGAGGTTTCTTTTTCTTTGGAAACCCGCATCGGAGCCTTCGACTCAAAAGTGCAGTGGGGCATAAATCCAACGCAGGAGCGTGAACGAAGCACCCGTGTGGGAGCTTCTAGAGACCTGTCACGCAAGGCCTTTGAATTTCGATTGATTGTGTTGTTCGCTGGTGCGTTGATTTTCGGTCTGCTTTTCGGTATCAGCCCCCAGCCTCATACACCTAATGAGACAAGCGGAACGTGGACGGGACAGCACCTTATTGGCTGGGGGCTGCCCAGCTTGGGCGGGCGGTAGCTGTCCAATGAAGTGGGAAGACTTCTCCCACTGTCGAGAGCAAGCCCCGGGTATCCCGCTCCTACGTCCATCTAACGGGGTTTTTTGACCGGTAAACTGCCCTTACCGTGTTTATTTACTGGAGTGACCTCTCCAGGGGCGGGTATGGATAGAAAAGGAAACCATGAGGCGCCCAAGCAGCTGACCTTGTGGGACTGATCTTCGTCTGGCCTCTACCCGTTGACCTTTCAGGCATGATTGGATCTGCGACTGAGGAGCCGTCCTGTATAGCTCGCAGGGTCATTGAAGCGCGCAAGCCGTCACACCACGCCAAGGTGCAGTCTCGTCGTGATGGGTAAACTAAGCTTTATTTCACACACCCTCCCCATCTGTAGCTGTTTGCTGTATTGTCAATCTGAGTCCATATCTGTGCCTTAGAGGTTTTACGCTAAGTGGCGAGGTGACGCTTGGAGTGTCTAAAGTTTGTTCTAATCGTTAACAGACTGAGTTCTGATCATATGGTAAGATGTTTGCCCCCATTATCTGATTGATAACTATCAAGGTCATGAGGGCCACCAGGATTCGTCTCATCAAGGGACAGACGGTCCACGCGTGCATTTAGGTCTCGGGTCACAATCACGATATACGTCTTAGGTCCTTTGAGGAGCAGCTCATCTAGGTAGTGATAGAAGACATCTTCGACTGTTTGCGGGCTACAGTCTGTGGGAGCGTATGCAGAAATTTCGAATAAGCACCGTTCATTTGGTTTCTGCCTTTTGGCTTTGCTTGAGTCCAGGAGTCGCATTGCGCATTTTCGGAATCCAGTCCAATAGACCAGTCTCGGCCCTGGTGCTTAAGACAATACAAATGCCTACTTGACCGGACGCTGATATGTTAGGGACCCGGAAACGCGCAGTTGAAACGCTTCTTTTGGATCGGAAAGAGACGGTAATAGGATCACTGAGCTCGTATCCTGAATGTGTGTTTCCGATAGGCAACACGCACCAATCTCTAGAATTTTGAGCGCACGAGCCAAACATTTCTGTTGTCCTATACACATTACAGCTTTTACTTTGAACGAATCCAGTTTGAACGCAGAGTGAGGTCGGGGGAATGTAACCGTCGGTTCAGAAAGACAGGACATGGCTGAGACAAATGTCAAAGAGGATGGTGGTAAGCTGCAACATGACTCTACATCAGTGGAACCATTTGAGACCGGACATACATGGGAAAAAGTATTGTTTGGGGGACGGGTGTAAGTGTCACGTGCAGACATTGAGGAGTTTTGTATAAAGGTTCAGACATGTTTGAATACCTACGTCCGTAAGGTCATAGTTAAATTTTGGGCGTGATTCTACCTGGTTGCCCAACATTGCTTCTGGTTCAGACAGAGTTAATTTTTCCCATTTAACGATGCAGAAAGTGTGCAAGGGAAAACGGGTTACATCCTTATAGTCTGATGGTACAATCTGCATGCGAAGTGGACGTAATGTTAACCGGAAATAGCTTGTTGATTTTCCGTTCACAGGGGGCATACTGTCAGTTTGGTAGAAGCATCAATAACCAAGGTTTTCCCAGAGTTCTTGTGAAAAAATAATTGAAGGGTACAAGTGCAGCTCCTCATAACTGCCACTTGTTACGAGTGACTGATCCCTTGTTGAGGAGAATCTAAAAGCGGATAGAGTACGGAGAAAATGTGTCCTGGGTTAAACAAAAGGTAATATCGGTGAAATACTTCTGTGACTAAATTTTCTGTTGGGCGTATTTCATTAGTTCAGCTTGTCTATTAAGAAAAATAAACTAAAGTTTCGATGCAATCTCTTGATTTGCTAGTTCGTGAGAAACTGACCTTGCAGGATCGATATGATGATTAGATAGTAATCGTTTTTGGGTCAGATGATTTCGACTCCAGCAAACTCAAAATGGATGCTGTCTAATACGTTCAACTCATAATTCGCATAAAAATGGTTGCACAATTTTTATCTCTCAGCTTGCAGTTCACTGCGCTGTCCATCTCAATTATCAGACTTTCTTTCTTCTTGTGTACTCCTTTGTTCAATCATTTCCACACTTTACTTCCGGTGTGAGTGATACGAAAATTGTAAATGAGTAGTATTAAAGTCACGTAATAGATACCCCAGATGTGCCTGTGACAACGTTTGCTGAACCGGTCTTCTGCTTTCAGAAAATTTTGTTTAGTCTTTTATGCACTACTTCTCTTCATACACTACTAACATTTGAGGATGAAATGAAGTGTGCAGAACTTGAAAATACATCCAACGTAGCAAAAAGAGACGATGTTGAGTGTAGCGCGTGAGGCAGTTGAACGGAGCTGAAGTACTCATATAAGTGAAGAAGGTTACCGCTGACTCATTATGATGTATAAATCTGTAAAAAGGTTATGCGTGAGAGATGGATGGATTGGATGGATTCGAACATATAATATGCGGTTTGCCGAAGTTCAACAGGCAATGTTTACTTAAGCTCTAAAAATATATACGCCGAATTTCGAAATAAAAACAAATGCGGAGGTTGGTATGGTCATCGCTGATCCCAGTGCTGGTGAAGCAAAAGGATAGAATATAAGAAACGACAGATTATCTTTTCCAGTCGATTAAAATGACTGTACGCGTTTGTGTGGAACTTGATAGTTTTGCTTGGATTAAAGATCTTTCGATAAATCTTTCATTTTTCACCTAACGCAACAAATATAGTATGACATAACAACAGGTGATTAATTTCGAACTTACGTTCTATTAACGAAGTTCACTTTAGGTAATAAATAGATGTGCAGTAGCGTAATGCTATTCATAAAGTATTCGGATCTTGCAAGATATGCTGTTTCTTCGACCACAGTGTCGCAAAGTGGTATTATACTCTACGGCAATTCGTTTTCCTAACCGTCCGTGTGCTCGGAGTGACATTGGACTTGATCACAACAACGACATCAATTAAAACTCGTTCAGATGTCGCTGATTGTGTTCAATTATTCTCTGAGTACAACCGCAACCTGCATCTACTATCAATCAACTTACATAACGAACTATCTGAGCTATAAGATTTCTTTTGATCTAGTGTTTGTCAATCCATTCATTTTAAAAATGTTTTCAGTCGTAACTACACATATTCTCTCTCTCTATCTTTCTATTCCCCTTGTTCATTGATTTCAGAATTGATAAAACGTTTCTACAGCAGTCGGTCAATAATCAAGGCTTAGCTTCGATCGAAGCTTATTTCGAACGGTATACCAGACACTATGGCGCTCCGCGTATGTTCCACATGGTTTATATTGCTCTACAAAGCCCTTGTATATCTTCTCTATAAACTGTATGTCAATTCCAATCAAGAAATCTCTTTATTACACCAGCTTTTTCAAGTTCAACTGATAAATACCCTTTAAAAACGATGACATGTTTTTGGAGTTACCTCAAAGCTATGAGCAAATCATGGAAAATGCAGTCTGTGCGACAGAAAAAGGGAGCGAAATAAGGAACTATGGAGGAGTAGTACGCTTTTGTATGTGCTTGAACATTTTTGTATTTGGAGTGAGCAGATGAGACTGAAATAGAGTTAGCTAATGTAGAGTCGAGAGGATGACACGCGTCAGACAGTATTTATTGACCCAGTTTATCACCAGCTTTTGTGTGATGGGAGACAATGTGAGGAATTATGTGAGTTTTCGGTAAATCACAACGCATGGATAAATGTCTGAGTGTTCTGGATATCACACTTATATCCTTTTGTTATACACTAGGACAAATCACTGCGAGTCATCGAACCGATGTGGTAAGATGTAGTCATGTTCATACTGATTTATCAGTTGGGAGGGATAAGCGCCTTGGGTCTAGGGCCAGGACGAATGCCTTCTAACTTTTCAAAAACATTATTGATGTGTCCAGACCCAGAAAGATAGTGTTTAAGAATGATACCCAAGAATTTAACTGATGTTCCGTGACTAATAGGTGCAGTGGAGACTGTCAACTAACCGGTTATCACTGTTATCCAACTTTGATGCTCATTTTCTGATATGTTGGTTACCGCGCTTACTTCTCTGTATGGTCATACTTACACTAGTGTGACAGCTTATCACTCTGGTTGGCGTACTGACTCCGGTGTTTACAACTCATACTCGGACCTAAGTGTTGTACTTGTGTTTCTGAGTTCTCGTGCTTCTTTATTTGCCCTGGTCGTGTTCGAAGTACTGTCTGTCTACGGAGAGCTGCGTTGCACACCGGTTAGAGAGGAGTACAGCTGGCAGCAGTTTTTAAACAGAGAACGAATTGAGTCTGCATGAGTTTCAGTTTCTACAACCAATAACCATGCACTATCGTGCGCCGATATTGGTTGCTGTCTTTTGGCTGCCCACTTGAATGAACATGAGGAGAAAGACAGGAAGGTTGAAAGTAGGATCGAAGAGAAAATTTAGGATTTCGTTGCCATAATTTTGCACAGAAATCGACAGGATGCACGAACGCCGCTGTTTACTACACGCAGCCATATCACTAAGTGTCTCTAACCATCGGTTACGACCATCCGGAGGTTCCCATCCAGGGAGCCTAACGGGACCAATGTGACCCAGACTCCTGGTTAGGGTTTTCATACCCTTGTGCCAGGTCTTAGCTTGACCACCCTTGAAATTCTTCCACCCACTACCTGCCTCGGCGAACATCGCTCTTGTGGCAACCTATTTAGTGGCATGCGTAACACATGCCCCAACCAACGTAATCTGTGCAGGTCGACCACTTACAGACAATTATCAATCAATGACGACGGAACGGGTCGCTAATATTTGACAACTGTTCCATATCGGTAACAGTTATCATATTTATAAGTCACGGTAACTTTACACTAGCATTTCTGGTTGCTTTTTAGTGAAAATTAAACCGATTTAATTCGTATCTCAGTTTATTTCCTGTACTTCGTTCTGAACTGACATAAGAAGTTAATCATTATTTTAGTGTTCCTTCAATTCACGGTGTTTTTTTGTTTTGATTTGATCGCATCATCTCCCGAAGCTTGACAAAGTTTGTGGTTTGCAAATTAATTTCCCTTGTTCCTCTGCATAAGCAATTCCTCCCACTTGTTTCAACTGCTTCCTTAGCTCATTCGGTCTCCAATCAGGATGTGTGCGATCTGCTGACTAGCATTCGACACTTACTTGCCCCACCTGTCCGATCCAAACCGGTGGAATTACTCGAATTAGCGGCCGAAATTACTCAGGCGTTTGGTGGACTTCGTTTCACCAGTTGCAAATCTGCCAAAGATCGCACCGCTATGTCAATCACACTGGAACAAATCCGTTGGCTTCAAGTATGCTGCCTATTTTCTCCCTAGTTTACTTTCCCTCTGTCAATTTTTGTTCACACCTCTAAATGTATTGTCGCAACTCTAGTGTGTGTAGTTGAGCGGGTTTCTGAGAGGGGCATATTAAATTATTATCACTTTTGACCGGTGCGTGACTTCCGTCAATAAGTGGAAACGGAACTGATACCGTCGTGCAGCCTCTAGCCTGATTCATGTTTAACCTGAAATGGCGTTCGTGAGAGAAGTCACCTATACTGTGGTAGCCACTTGGTAGGCTCCTTAGCCTAATACTGTAGGTAGCTCCAATTGTGTCAGGGACGTCCAAATCGCACACTTTGAATAAGTCGCAACTGGCGTAAAGTAACTCTATGGCGCCATTTTCAATATCATTGCATAGCTAGGAAAGATTTGAAAACCCGTACAGAGGAATATCTTGCGAAATAGTCTCAAGGTTTGATTCCAGTTCGTCGAGATATGGATGCCAAAGATCTTATTATGGATTCATTCGAAACACAATTGTTGGTCATGAATGTCCCGCTATTCGAATTAGTGACGATTCTATTGCTATGCATCTATCAAGAAGACGCTTGGAATCCCTGAAGGGATTTCTGTTACGATGCAAAGTCAATGTCCAATTTTCGTTCTTTGGATGAACCTACTGGCAGATGGATGGTGTAATCCTGGAATTATGATTGCGCACAGAACTAGGTGTGGTGGCCGACTAGTAAAGGTCAGAAAATTATTAATTTGAGGTACCTGTGTTCTAATCCCTCCACGACAAACTGGATCAATCCGTTTTGTGTGTTGTATAGCCTCCCTTTCATTGGACGCTTCCTCCTTCCCAATAATTTTATTATGTTTTTATACGGGAAAATGGAAATAGAAAAACGACACTTGCTGCCACATTGAAATTCAACTAACCACAGAGCATCATAGAATAACTGCCGCTGTACTGTATTTATGTGGATGAAACTTAACTTTTTCAACCGGGACATTTTACTCAACATAATATTGGAAGCTTTTAACGTAACCCATACTTTTATTAGTTTTCCCTCGGAAGTGAAAGGAGCGGATTTCCCTTTCCGGGTAAACCGTGTACTTAAGAGCTCGAAACACGTTATATACGACCGGTTCGTGATCGTCGAAACGGGGTTACTCACGTGCAGAATTTCTCCGGTCTACTTAACCGAACTGCTTTTAGTAAACATAGATCTAGTTCATGCTCTCCTGTAGGATATCCGGTACTCTCCATAATTGATGATTGTAAAAGCAACAGGTTCCCCTACTTCTCACACGCTTGGTGAAAGTACGCAAACGACATTATGCTACTAAGTGAAGATCCAGGTTAGTTAAAAGCCTTTATGGATAACTCGAATGCCAGTGCAGCCATATTCGGTAGGCGTTTTTCATCTTCAAAGTGTAAAAGGCTACTACAAGACTGGGTTGGTCCAGCATCCAACCTCACTCTAACTGGGGAAGTAATAGAGCAGGTGGATAAGTTTTGTTATTTGGGCAGCTACATCTCACCCGGTGGACGCATCACGGATGAAGTGTCAGCTGGCATACAGAAGGCTCCATTGGCATTTGCCAACTTGAGACATCTGTGGCGCCGTCGCGACATCCGGTTGTCTGTGAAGGGTCGAGTATATGCCGCGGCAGTTCGGCCAGTCCTGCCATACGTTGCAGAAACTTGGCCAATAATAAAACAGGATAAAGACAGACTGTCGTTGTTTGAACACCACTGTCTACGTAGCATTGCACGAACCTGGTGGGGTAGCCGAATGAGCAATGCTGAGGTTAGCCGCAGAGTTTTGGGTATCCGCGGTCGTCTACTGGAGCAAGTGGTCGACCTCCATAGATTACATTGTTTGGAACATGTGTTACGCATGTCACGAGATTGGCTACCACGGCGAGTGATGTTCGCCGAAGCAGACATCGAGTGGAAAAAAGCCAAGTGTGGTCAAGGTATGAAAACCCTGACCAGGAGACTGGCTCACATAGGTCTCGTTAGGTTCCCTGACTGGGAGCCGAAGGGGTCCCACGGATTCAGGTTTTATTTGGCTGGAGACACTGCGGGATATGGAATCGAACCCAAGTCAGTGACGTGAATGCATCTTTTTCGATGTGGATCCCAAAAATAAACCAAAAAGTCTAANATCTGGCACAAGGGTATGAAAACCCTGACCAGGAGACTGGCTCACATAGGTCCTGTTAGGCTCCCTGGCTGTGGACCCCGTGATGGTCGTAACCCATGGTTAGAGACACTGAGTGATTTGGCTGGGTGTCGCAACCAGTGGAGTTGCTGCATCTTCTCCATTTTCTGTTCGACTCCACTTTCAACTTTTTCTTTCTTCTTTTCTTCATCCAAATGGGCAGCCAAATGATAGCAACCAAAACCGGCGCACGAATCGGCGTGGTTAATGGTTGTACAAACTGAAACTGAAAACGGTCACCTGGTGTCATTATATATATATATATATATATATATATTTATATTTGATCAGTCCAAGAGCTAATGTTGCTGCAGTCGTTCACCTTGCTCACTTTCCTCCAGGGGCCGTTCGCTGAATATTTCGCGATATGGTGACTTTCGTTGTGAATGGAGTCAATTAAAGGCGGACGGAATATCTGATCCTCTCAGTAAACTAATATTATCAATTAAATTATTTTAAATTGTGGAGTTCACTCCAATTAATCTTCCGTAGTTGCTTCACTGGCTCAATTCAGGCCTTCTCTACATCTTTGTAAATCGTCTTCCACTAACTTGAGCACTTGCGAATGCTGTCCTTTGAAAACATCCTATGTTAGACCGATTTTAACGCTCATTAGCCGATACATGATTGAGGTAGCAGTAGTATGTGACATGGTTTTCCATCTCCCGCTAGACTATAGCTAAGTGAGCGAGATTAAGCAATCTTTGAAAAGCGGTGTGCACCTCCGTCTGTTGACTCGCATAGGGATGTTATGATGTCATGTTGATCGTGGCAGATCAGATGAAAGTCGTTATGATTTAAACACTGTTTGGTGTGATATATTTGTCAATCACGAGCAACAGTATCGTTTGTTCTCCAAATCCTATTCGCGTTGATTTACACTTTTATCCCGAACCACTTTGGGTACTGAGGATGTCGATTCTCTTGCAATCTGGTTGCTCCCAGTTATAATTTGCTTTTGTTTAATTAAATGGTTCCCTGTTTAACTCCACTCTAAATAAATACTTTTCACTATTTTAATTAATGTTTACTTTTCATTTTCCCCAGAAATCTGAAGGTATGCATGTGAACGACTTTCTGCCAGCCTTAAAATGCCTAAGAAGCACCGGGCTTCGTTTGGAAAACGCGATGAAAAATGCCGGCGTGCGGAAGTACGCATTCAATCGTCTACAGCTACTCTCGTTCCCCAAACTTTATCGTCCGCCGGTCGGAACGTTTGCCCCAGGAGTGATGTCCTAGTTTTCTTCACCAGACGAGATCTGAATGCTGTGACATACGTACTGTCAAACTTCTTGGTTTGGCTCGTGAATTTTTTTCTCAATTTTATTCGCGAAGAGGAGTTGAGCAGAGAAAAAACTTGTTCAGAAATGCATTTGGTTCCCTACCAGCCTATGCATATGTACACTACTTGGTGCAATGAATGTTTTCCTTACAATTCAACGGCTTATTTCGTTTTATCTTATTTCCGATAATTTCGGCTGATTCCCGGGGTCGTCTAAAACGGGTATGGAGCGTATGACCGCGTCTCGAACGTTCTGGCCATCGCGTTGGTTTCTCTCTCTCTCTCTCTCTCTTACATATGTATACACAGAGAGATTACAACCGAATTTTACTGCTTTGTTTCATGTGACCCGTACTCCTTCGGAATTCGGTTGTGCATCAGATATCATAGTTCACCTTACGCCGATGTGTTAAGTATAGGTGACGAAATTTGAGATTATTTTACCAGGTGAAGTGATTCACCATATTAGATTGGGTTAGTGTAATTAGAAACTAAACTGACGACAGATCTATCTGGTAATATCACGATTTTGTGATCGATTACATTTGTCCATTTTTAATCCGATAAGGTGTTATTCGTTCTTCTGAACAATTCGCCATTACGATGGAGTGCACTATCGTCACAGGAATCGCACTGTGAGGAATGGGGATAACATTACGAGCATAATAGACAGTTGGATCGTTTGGACCACTCGGGTTTTCAGTCGCATGTACGCTTTTGTTTCCATTGTACAAACAAGCACAGCTTGTACAGCATATGGGTAACCCCAGTGTTTTATAATCATTACCCGGTCGATTTGAATCACTCCGCGTTTGTCTCTCTGTATTCACTATTGGGAATAAATTTCACAAATCTTCATATGTTACAATAAATACTTGATGGTTCCAGTTTGTACAAACATTACCCATGCACTTTCGTGGACCGGTTTTGGTTGCTGTTTTTTGACTGCCCATTTGGAGGAAGACAGGTAAGTTGACGGTAGAGTCGAAGAGAAACTGGAGAATTTCAGTGAGCTCAGGTTGCAAAGAAATGGAGGAGATGCACGAATGACGACACTCAGCGCCTCTAACCGCCGGTTAACACGATCTCGAGGTCGCCATTTAGGGAATCCAACTCGACCTATATGATCTAGTCTCCTGAATAAGGCTTTCCTAAACTCGTGCGAGGTTTTATTCGAAGCACTATTGGTTGCTTCCCACCCACTACCTGCCTCGGTAAATATCACGCGCCGTGGCAACCTATTTGGCGACATACATAACACATGCCCCAACCAACGTAATCTATGGAGGTCGACCACTTGCTCCACTGGGTGAGATATAGCTACTCAAATAGCAAGACTTGTCCACTTGGTCTAGTCTGGGTGCTAGATCACCCCAGTATTGTGGCAACGTTTTACAATTTGAAGGGACAAAACGCATATCGAGCATGGCTACACTAGCTCTCAAACTATCCAAAAAGATTTCACATTATCTGCGTCTTCACTTAGCAGTACAACGATGTCCACAGACCCCGGGAAAGATAGTTTGCCACGTGAGAGCAATTCGATACCACTACCGGTGCAAGAGTATAGGGCTGTTTCCATAATCCAATCTACAATTAAGTTAAATGGAAAAGAAGGAAGAGGACAATACTGACGAATACTCCTTTAAATGATGAACTCGGGCGAAAAAGTTCTGTAACCTCGAACTTTGCTTCGGGTATTAGTATAAAGGGATCGTAATATTGAAATACACTTCAGGGATACGGAGTGTCAGCCTCCAAAAGCCTCAGTATGCTTGGGGGTTGGGTGGCTGGTCACCCATCCCCTGCACCTTGCGAAATGCTCCCATACGACCGAGCGTCTCAAATAGTCTTCTCTACTGAGTATTCCCTACTCATTCCCTTTTCGTGACGGAGGTGTTTCCCCACTAAAGAGAGAGTTAGAAAAGCCGACATTCGGGGCTATAACCGGATTGCTGGACCACTGGTAGTTCACCTAGGGGAGTTGGTCACAATCCCTGATTCCAAACCAACCCTCTCGGTCGTGGCAGTGGTCACCGGCCCGCTTTGGCATTGAGGTGTATTGGGCACCTTGGACGTTTGACCTCACCCGAAGGGTGTATGATCCGATGAGCTGGACATCGGACTTCAATGGATTTCACACCGCCCCACTACCTTGCGGGTCAGGTTTTGGCTAGCCGAAGACTCCAGTTGTGGATTCCTCGAGAAAATTCACCTGCCTTGGCCCGAGCAACCTGGCAGTATTACGCCCACATGCAAATCATGAAACGTTTTTCTTTTTTTTATACAGATTATTGTACCATGATTTGTTTGGCACAGTGTCACGATCCAAACGTGTGTGAAAATATGTAAAAATAGATGTAGATAGTGCCACATTTTATAGCGGTTGATTGAGACGAAGGCCGCATTCAGATGGAGGAAGAAATAAGTGGTGGATCTACGAGAGAAGTGCCTGTGTTTTAGAATTTGATAGAGAGTGAACATGTAGTCGACACAACCTCAACCGAGTGTAAATCCAGTCTGGTTCTCGCACGTGCATTCTTCACGTGCGGCAGAGAATCGACGGAGCATGATGCCCTGGAAAGTTTTATACGCAACGTTGGTTAAACTAATTCCTCTGTGGTTTTCACAAAAGGATCTGTTAACAGTTTTGTAAATCGGTATGATCACCGATTCACAATATCAGTTAGAACCTCTTCCATCTCCCACACTGAGCCCAGGATTTTCGTTAACTCCGAACTCAAGGCTGAATATCCTTCTTTAAACGCCAATGAGGAAAGTGCATCTTTGCTGGAGGCCTTATCCCTTTTGAGATAGCTTATTTTCAGAGAAATCTCCATTTCAGATGGACGACCGCCTGTCTATAAACGCTCCCAGTGATCCTTTACAGTTTGCTTACAAGCCTAATAGATCTACCTTGGAT